TTACCTGAAATATTAAGCAAAGAAACATTCAGCCCAACTACTTTACCGATCAGATCATTCTCGCTGTATATTTTCAGTTTCCGAACATATAGACAATTACCATATTGAACAGCCTTATGGAGTGGTGTAGAATGACTGTTATCTCTAGAATTTACATCCGCTCCATGATCGACAAGAACTTTGATTATCTCCATTTTATCTGCAAAGTTTATAAAAATCTTACGAAGCCACCATATTTTTAAATTTATCAATTTGAAATTACTCTTAGATGCAGCAAATAAAAGCGGTAGAATTCCATCCCGATTTTCAGCATTTACGAGTGAACTATTCTCAATAAGCCGTGTAACTACATCTACATTCCCTGAAAAGGATAGAAGAAAGGCATTTAAATTTAAGATCAGACATTATAATGAGATATTTTCAGTCAGATGAATCAGCTAAGCCAGATATCGTCAGGAGCTGAAATGGAATGAAAACACTAAAAGTGATTGTTATAGTGATTGCAACAATGTAAGTGTAATTATAACCATAACAATCACTTCTATTGTTTTCACTAAATTTCAGCTCCTGACGATATCTGGCTGAGCTGAATCATCTGGCTGAAAATATCTCATTATAATGTCTGTTTAAGATATATTCCTTTATCATACATTAAGCTGTAATGATATTTCAAAGGAACTGAATTTTATGAAAATTAACTCGGAGAAAGATAAAAAATCGTTGAGAATGTTATAAAATGTATAAATGATTGTCTTTGACTTACCAAATCTGATAGCATTAAAAAGTTCCTCAGTTTCATTTCCTGCGAAGAATTTGAACAAACGAGAAGATTCAGAATTAAGCCACGTACAATTTTGCTAGTAATCGGTTATATGTATATGATTCATATAATTTGAACTGGTGCTACAAGTGGTATCAAATGTTCAGCGCTAATGCGGTTCCAGTTTTAAATTTTTTATCAATAAATATTTCTTGTACGTGACAAACTGCATTGGTTGCCATATGAAATATAAAATCAAACACTACTGCAGCAAACGCTGGCCTAGCAGCATCTAAACAGCGTTGCTGTCCAGCTCACTGCTTTGAAGCGTTAGCCACATGTGAACATGTATATACATATATACTTAACACTGAAACAAAGTTCAAACTTCAAGTTTTTTTGTCGTCTCTTTCATTTTAAACAAAATCTTTTGTTTTCAAAAAGAAATTTTTTCAACTTTTTTTTGGGTCTGAGGCTCTCAACTGAAATAACGACACAATTAGCGTTTATATAGTTGAATCACTTAATCGTTTGTGTCTTCAATGGAGACTCCATCCTAGCCTATGTCTCTTCCTTAGAAAAAAAACTGTTAATTTATTTGTGATTTCAGTTTTTTCATGAATTGTGTTGCTGAAGATGGTCTGTGAGGTACACATATTATATAATACTATATATCATCTTTATATACACAGGATCACAGGATGATGTGAATGCTGCGCCTAAAATATCAGGGATGAAGACCCGACAAATCTCAGACCACAGTTCAGGTATTTATATAACGTTTATGGATCGTACGTTTTTTAAATAAATATTTTTGAAATTTCCATTTCAGATGTCACCAATAAACAACAATTTTCAAAAAGACGTTCAGTTGATTGTTTGGCACCGCTATCAAAGCGTGCGCGATTGGAAAATAAGCTGAAAACACCACGAAAACGTACGAATACGTGTTTGGTAAAACTACGTTTATTTCGCATAAATGAATTGGTGTGGGCTCGCGTACGTGGATACCCATATTGGCCTGGGATGATTGAATCAATAACACAACGTGGAAAGTTTTTAATTCATTCTTTTGGGGACTATACCCGAGGAGAAATCGGTAGAAATAATATTGCGCATTTCTTTGAGGGGTTTGAACAATATTCGACTAACTATGGAAATCTGAAATTGCAAAAAGCAATTAACGAAGCTAGAATTTTTTTGTTATCTGAGAATATTATTGACGAATGTTTGGTTTGCAAAATACCAAAGATTAAAAATATATTGAATGAGGAAAAAAATAAAAAATAAATAACATGATATACATTTTCTGGGTGAACATTTTTTCTGCAATTTTTGGAAATTTTTCCTGTAGAGTTCTCATACAGGATTTATTCTTGTAATTTAACAAAAAAAATTATTCAGTATTTATTTCCAATTTTCAGAAATAACTTCTAGGAATTATTTATTCGAATAAGTGACAGATTTTAAGTTACGATTGGGCAGGAATTATTTTGGCAGGTGTAACGACGCAGCGCCGCACCAAAATGCATTCAAATCAAGATTCAGTATGTCGCCTTCCAATTCGAAAAAAAGTTTATTTTCAAATGCACTATTAGATTTCCTATGTATCCCTAACTCGGCGAATACTATACGGTGGTTATTGAGCACTATTCATTGTTCCTTGAAATTTGTAAAAAGTGTGGAAAAAATATTCTCAGAAATATAAAATGCTTTTAATTTAATATTTAAACTTAACCAATTCGTTTTATAAAATTACATTCGAGTTCAATAGATTCACCTTGTACAATTTTCGTAAAAATGTTCACAGCAATTAGGAGAACGATTACAAATCTCGGCTTCATATTCGGTGGGATTGAAAATCTGCACGAATAATAGAATGGGAAAGATAATCACAGAATTTATTGGCTGGAATAAAATAACACGGCAACACTAATATTATAATAAAGTTTAAAATCGAAACGTATGATTCTCGAAAGAAAGTTAGCACCGAATGATCACTTGCTTCATTTAAACAGTGAATTTATACCATTGAAAATCCAACAAAAGCTTTGAATAAATGTATTGCTGCTGCTAATATAATAAAATAAAAAAGGTTTTGCATTTTTGAAGATTTGTTTTGTTCTTTCTTCTGTTCCAAATAATTTGATAACTTTGAGAATTTCAAAGGCATCACAGTATAATCTAGAACAAAAACATGTTTATAAAATAAAATGAAATGTAAAAAACAAATGACTGTGCATTGTGCAATGTTCTTGAAATTTAACGACAGTAAACTCAAACTAATCTTTCTTTGTCTGTAATTAAATTGTCAGAATAAAAAAAAGAATTTTCAACATTTTTTTATTCTGAATATTTTATCAATTATTTGCATTACGCAAACGTTTTCGAACAACCCTGTAGTCATCTTCAGGCTAACAATGAAACTGATTTACTTTTTGAAAAAACAATGTCAATTGTCTACTAACCGGTAAGTTTGAAAATGCAAAAATAAAGAAAATACAATAATTCGGTTTTACAATTATAGCTCGCCATGGATATTTGATGTGATTTCATCAGCTGTTTTCAAGTCAGCTGTTAGTTCGAATGTAGTTGATTGAACCTGTGTATTTTGAATATTTATACTGTTTGCTCTTGTTTTATAAATGTACAAGTTTTCGGTGACATTCAAATATCTTTGGTTTTGTACGTGTTTTAGGAGTCTAAAACCCACTAATTTATGTCCATTATTGATAAAATGATCGGCTGCTGTTGATTTGCCAATTTCACCAAAATGTATGAGTTTATAATGTTCACCGTATCTAATACAAACCGCTCTGCCACATTGACCAGTCTAATTTTCTTCACAATCAGAACATAAAACCGAATATATGCCAGACTTATCCAAATTTTCAAACTTGTCTTTGGCGTTACCAAATAAAGTTTTTAATTTGTATCCAGTACTATTCGGTGAGAGTTTTATTGAATATCTATTGAATATTTTCGATAATGTTATCGAAAAATCGTTTATAAAAACACCACCTGTGTATGTTACTTCATCTGTATCGTCAAATGAAGGAGATAGAGTTATTAAATCTCTTAAGTTCTTTTTGTTACGATGCTTATTCAACAAAAAGTCAACAATCTTCTTATCAAAGCCATTAACCTCGGCAATATGATTTAATTTTTTCACCTCGATATTAAAATTATCGGTTGTTAGTGGAATGTTAACTGCTCGATGACAGAACGAATTGAATGCTGCAAATTTTGTACTTTTTAGATGGTATGAATTGGACGGTATGCAACGTTCCAAGCCAACAGGCTTTCTGTATATGTTGAAATCTATACAGTTGTTCTTTCTTGTTAACATTAGGTCCAAAAACGGAATTGGCAATTGGCATCATTCGCGACCAATTTTATGGCGGAATTTGAAACAAGGGTTAAGAATGAATGTACAATTTTTCCAGATATTTGGTTGAGATATGTCGATGATACGTTTTGTATCATAAAGAAAAATAATAATGTTAAAGCTGTTCCTTTTCTTCTAAATGAATCGATTGAAAATTACCATTTGCAGCAGCCAAAGATAAATTTGTATACTCTGTGTAACATACTATACACACAAATGTACAATTGTACACACAGAGTCGAAGTGCAGCATATACGTAGCACCTACTGAGTAGAAGCTACTGCATAGGGCAAACTGATATCTTAGCGCAATGTATTCACTGTTTAAAACCTATATATAGGCCATATAATCAATAATTACCTTATGGATTGGCGTCCATTTACGATAATATTCGACATTTACCTTTGCACGGTAAAAAAACGGAAATTTTGTATGGAAGTACCCTTAATATGCATTGAAATGTCTTCAAACTCTCGGAATGTTATTTTTGTGTGAAAAATATAAACTGTGCAAAGTTTCAGGTCATTACGACATTATAGAAGCATGGCTTTCATACAAAAATTCAATTTTTCCGAAATAAATACAAATATGAACATACATTGTAGAATGTATTATAACTTACCTTTATTTTTGATACTAATTCAAGTTTTTATATGAAGATTGTCTGACATTATGTATAAATAATCTTATCTGTTCCGTATCATATACATGTAACCTATAGGTTACCGAAAGAAATAAATCTAATACAAAGAATTCCCGTCCAT